CAAGCTGTACATGTTGTTTTTGTTGTTGTTCTTGTTGTTGTTGTCATTGGAATAGATTGATACATTTTAATTTATGTGAAATATACACTCTACCTTTGTACTACTATAGCTTTTAAAGTTGTACTAACCTTTTCAGTTTTTCCATTTGTTGCCGTAATAGAGGGTAATCTGCGGCATGGTTCTGCCATATCCTGCTCCGACTAATTTAAACAGATGTAACTGTGTTTGTTTGCGCCCATCTCTGGATGAGTCAGCGTTGTTCCCCAGGCTGCTGCTTTATCTGATTCTTAATGCCTTCCCTTTGTCACCTGGTGCGCCACAGGGTGGCAAAGGGCCCGCCAAGAGCGAAAAAAGAGCATTATCTGTTAAAGCCCTTCTGCAAAATGCTTAGAGGACGTTTTTCCCCGTTAAGTGGATTTAAGCTGTCTGTTTTTCTCCCTCGCTATAACCGTGCCATTGTGTTTCCTTTCTGTCTTTTTTCCTTCCCCCTCATTTCCCATCTCCCCACAGGCTGACCTGTGTGCGTGTGAGGTCATCGCATTATTTTACATGGCAGGGTGGTTTTAAATTTGTGCTCCTGTCACCATGGTCATTGCTGTCCATGCTTCACACGGGGGCATTTCATTTGTGCCCCTGGAACATTCCGCATGGAAATGTGGAGGAGGTGTTGCACTGCAGTTACGGATGCTTTCGGAAATTCCCCGCTCGCACCTTCCTTAGTTACCAGCTGAAGTGGAGAATGAGTTTCTCCACCCCAGGTGCTTTAAGGATGACTTAGATTACAGAGCACTGGTAAATCCCAAACCTTCTGTTGTCTTTTTAGTCATGCAGAGCCTATATTAGATTTTTGTTGCATGCTGAGCTCCAAATGACACTTGGCTCCCTTTTATGGTTTATGGTTGAAATTTGTATGCAAATTCAGAGCCTATTGTGATATACATTGCATACTGCCAGCTGGCAATGTTGCTGCTTTCTGAGCTACTGGTTAGTAGCTTTCTACACAGATAGCATCAGATGCAGGTTTGTGGTTACAGATTGTTGCTCTCTAGCCTGCGTCACTGTCCTCCGCTTTATTGAATTAATCCACACAGCGAGCATCCACCTCTCATGAGCTCAACGCATGTATTCAACAGAACAGGCTGTACCCAACACACAGCAATTAGAGTGACAGAGAGCCTAAGAGCAAGAGGGGGAAGATGGGAGTAACTCAAAAAAGCATCATGACATCAAGGAGGGCTTCAGGATGGAGCAAATTTGGTGTAACAACTTGCTTGTTCACTAGTTACCTCCTGATTTTGTTTACAGTTTGTTATAGATCATCTGTCCTCTGTGCCTACACTATGTTCCTGCCTCCCTTCATCTCTGAAATGCGGAGGAAGCGGAGTGCAGTTTGGAGGCTGCAACCCAGTAGTGCTTCTGGCTCAAGTCAATATTTGTTTTAGGAATCTCAATAGCAGAGCCACGCTTGAGTCATCTGCATAGCCCATAATGGAGCGCCATATGGCTGTGTTGACCTAGTGAGATCAGGGTTATTATCCCTCTGCCTTATTCCTATTCACATTCCCCACTTTCTTTTTACTACTCTTTTACTCTTTATTTGTTCTGCCATTTTTTCCCTCTTGCTTACGTGTTTGTTTTCTCTTTTTTTGTCTCGTTCTCTGTGCACTTAGTCCTTTTCCAACTTAAGTCTAGATCTAGCTTTGTCTATATTATGCAATTATTCCATAGTTGTTTTTTCCTTATCATCCTAGTAGAAGGAAGTGACCCATTACTGTAATATGACCCAAGTTGCCATAGCAGCTAAGCCAGCAGTGTTTTAGAAGTCCTTGTAAAAGTCAGAAATGATAAGACTGTGCTCACAACCGGACCATGTTTTCATGCTAAGGCTCAGCTGGTCAAAACCATGCTGCTTAGGCTTATTCAAAGATAATATTGGATGTGGTCTTTTTTTTCTTGCAGAAATCTGGCAGTTTTTATTACTCATACCCCCTCCCCTTTTCTCTGCATGGTGATGGAGGGATGAGGAGAAAAAGAAAGCAGGAGTAGAGCAGATTGCTCTCTCCCTGTGTCCAGCCCTCAGGCTCAGGTGCTTGTCAGTGCTGGGTTCAGACGGACCTTTTCAACAATTTGTCACGGCTGCCTCAGCCCCTGCTGCGCCGGCACGTGGCGCACACACACTCACACACACACAATATGCGCACATACACACACTTGCACACTCTGAGGGGTGTGTGACGGGCAGCATGGTCATGATGGAGTGCAGGGGCCTTGGCAACAGCCTAGCTCCTGGCGGCGTAAGCAGCCTCCCTAATGAGTTGGGAATGGCATCAGTGGGGCCCTTCAGAAATTTAGCAGGCAGGCGTGTGGACAGCCCCAGCCTGCACTCCAGCAGCCGAGTCATTAGAGTAGAGTCATCAGCAGCGCCCAGCCATGGCCACAGACACACACCCATGCATATTGATAGATAGTGTACCATTCAGCTTTGTTGTGGGCCATATATGATATCCTTATCGTAATAAATTACGTCATACTGAGTGTATCATGGGTAGGGCTGAATGATTTGGGAAAAATAGGTAATTGCAATTTTTCTGCCATGCGATTTAAACTGTTAATATTTTCTATAAAGGGCCCATTTGTCCTTTATTGCTTGCTTGCGGCTTGTACGCTAAATATAGTGTGACAGACTGCCTGTTAGTTGTGGATATGCTGTCATATACACAGCACATGGGAGTTTTGTTGCTTCTGGTTGCTTCAACCCATCTACAGGCAGATCCTGAGCTCCGTGTTAGTATGTTAAAACTTTCAAATTGTGATTTTGATATGAAAAGTCTTTCAACCTGTATAATGGTTATTGTCAGTATTTCTAGAACACTGAACATCTACATACGTAACTAAAAAGACATTTCGAAGTTATACCAAATAGCATAGCTGTCTTAAGGTTTACTCTATTTTCAGAAGACCACTAGTTGAAATCCCAGTGCTGCCCTGCTTGGCCAAGTTCATTGCAGTCCAGTCTGTGAATAAATCGTTGAATAAATAAAAATGTTCTCATAGTTTGAATGACATATGGTACTATTGGTGCATTTGTGTGCTCGAACATTTTAAACCTCAGAAAAACAACATGTAAGAATGCCTTCACATTTTACATTTTTGTCATATTGCTTACCCCTAATTTTGTATTTAAACATTCCTTTTTTCAGCTTCATTTGGACACAAACTGGAAGTGACAAATAGACACACACTGTTCATTACCATATGAGGTGGTGTAAATTATCACTTCCCCAGTTGTAGTGCAGCTTTGAGTGAGAGTTGAGGAAGCATGGAGGAGGATAGAGTGTGCAGTCTGAATGTGGTAGCAGTTCATGTTGAGGCCCAACAGAAACACCTGCTCCTCCGTTTGTTTGGACGGTTAACTGTCTCTCTCGCTGTAAATGTAGGCACTCGCCTCATGTCTGGAATGACTCAGAGACCAGTGGCTGCAAGAGCAAGAGCTTGATTAAATTTCATTAGCGGAAAACAAGATTCTCCCTCTCTTTATTGCTCTTTCACTCTCCCTCTCTCTGTCTCTCTGGCTTCATGACCAGGCACTACTCTTCCAGTCTAGAAGGGTGAAAAAAGACAAAATAACAACAGTTAATGTAAAGCCATGTCTAAAGCAAGTTGCACATGTATATGACAGTCCTAGTGGCACTTTTTTTCTGTAAGAAAAAGACACAAAGACTAGGAACATAATAGACAATTACAGTTTGCTATTCTTTTATTTGTGCCATTCTTTTAACACAGCTGGATGTGGCCAGCTTAAAGTGGAACACTGCCAGATGAGCATACATGCTGCTTAGAATTTCTAATGCTTTCAGCTCTGCCAGTGAAAGGTCAGAGACAAACTGTAGCTGCTGAGGGGAGAGGGATGAAATGAAAATGAAGGGTGGATTTAAGTTTTAGGGTCAAAGACACAGATTAAGCTTAGTCTTAGAATTTTTTTAGTCTTAGAATTCCCACCAACGTAATCCAAAACCTTAACTAGTTAATTGTTAATTTGTATTTGTAAAAAACAAAAAATAATGGGGAAAAAAGAAACTGCGTTCGGATAGCATTAGTGAAATTAATAATGGCTTCTTAGATGACAGAACTGGTGTTGTACATGCATTTACATATATGTTTGAGCGACATTATTCAAAAATAGCCAAGAGAAATTGTGAATTTAGGATTTCCTGTTGGACTTCTAACAGGCGCTGCTTCCTCAGAAGAGCTAATGAGCTAACAGTGCTAACTGGCACCGCATTTCTTCCTGTAAGTGGTATTTTTCTCCAAATATATTTTCACTGTTTCTGGACCTAGCTTCCCGAGTGAGAGCGAAGAGATTTGAACTGGGTAGCGAATGAGAAAGCTCTGCTTGTGTATGGCATAGCTGTGGCCAACAACAGCTGGAAAATAAAGCGCCGCTACTTGTGCGCAGACTGTGTCTCTTTTAAAAGTGGTGAATGCTACAATATGCTAACAGATTTGTCTGTGCTGGTTTTTCTAGCAGCGTTCTCAGTCTCGTTCTTAATAACGAGTCCTTGGCAGTGTGCTCACGTTTATGTACTTGTTTCGTATACTCATTTGCAAATACAAAGCAAAACAGTCATATTTTACAGTCCTGATAAACATAAAATTGGCTGTATGGAATTCACTGAATTGTTTTTCTGTATATTTTCTCCTTCTTGCCATGGTAAAACCCAAGTTGTTATTTCAGTCTTCAAATACTGGCACATCTAACAGTTAATTGAGTACTCAAGCACCCATGCATATCCATAGTATCTATCTCTCTTGTAAGTAACTTTGGATAAAAGCGTGTACCAAATAATTGAATATAAATGTAAGATTGGTTTAGTCCATAAAACCCTATTGTGTAACTGTGAATCTTGCCTAATCAGCCCTAATCAGATCCTTTTCCCTTGTTGTTGCTAAACATTTGAATGAGCTTCATAAGACATTTTCCTTAACAAGCTCTCTCCCAGCTATGAGGAGCGGGCTCTCTATCTGGAGGCCATTATTTTGAACCACAAGGAGAACATGATGTTTGAGGATTTTGCCGCCCAGGTCTTCTCACCCTCCCCCACCTACTACCCAATGAGTGGTACAGGTAAGCGCCCTCTCTCTCACACAGTCCTCTGATTCATACCCTGTCCTGACTGCACCTCTCTCCTTTCTGCTGCTTCTCCACCCTGCTCTTTGGCCTTCTCCTCTCTATTGCAAGGCTGGTGCGTCCCTGCAGTGGAGCTGCCTTAAAGGGCTAAATCCACCCAAACAGTACTGATGTGGCTAACAGTGAATGATTTACTATAGTGATATTATGCTATCTGACAACATTAGTGTCATTCTTAGCCATGTTAGCATGTTGTTGAACTGTCTCTGTAAACTGTCAGAGTAAGCCTGTTTCTTTTTTCCAGTTAGATTTCACATTGAAAGACACCCTCCTGAGAAATGCTGCACTTTTATTTTTCTTTTACGCAATGAAAGGCAGACATTCAGCCAGTAATCCGACTTTGCCATCTCTGCAGTTGAATGACGTATAATTTAAGAGACTGTTTTTGCTCTTTATCGGATCATACCTTCAAATATCTGCCATAGACAAGTATTACCAGTTGCTTTTAATGTTTAGTGAAACTGCATTGACTGCATCAGGCTTTAATTATTAGGCTGTTGATTTAATAAAGCTTGCCCAAAGCTGAAACCACACCTTGCATACACTTTTCTCTGTTAGGCTTTAAGTTAAAGCATATGAGGGCCTAGCTAAATCCTGCAAGTGACTGTGAAAAAGTGATAAGCACCAGACCGCCCTGGCAAGCACATCTTACATCTAACTGTGAAAAGGGGCTATTTGGGGGACTACATGAAATATCAAAAATGGTACAGCCTGCACATCCAAATTAGTTTAATTACTGATACCAAACCACTGATATGTTTTGTTATTTGATTTTAATAATTTATTTCTCAGAGACTTTGTGCTTAGTAAAGTCAAAAAGTGTGACTATTAATTAAAATGTTTCTATTCTAATTTAATCGATTTTTTTTATAAATTATATTGTAATCATAACAATTTAAGTGAAATGTCAAATCGTTGAAATTTTAACATGAATTTGAGAGTTTCTTTGGTATTTGATACAGTATGTTCCCTTTTTTACTTAAATGACAGCACTCACTGTCGCACTTGGGCTCCTCAAGTTTGGGCAAAAGCCTCTTATTTTGTTATTTTTATTTATTTATTTTTTTTAGATAAAAGAGTTTGATGTAGTACTTTAACATTGTTACAGCTTCATTCACTCCTCAGCCATATATGAGCCATATATGCAAACTAAGCTGTAAAAACAGCTTAATTAGAAATCTGTGTTTCTGTGATGTCATGAAAACCGAACACATTTACATATATCCTCCTGTTCAGCCCACAGCAGTTTAACCCTGCCCCTTCAAGCTGATGTTATAAGCAGCCTGGACTACTTATTGATCAGAACAGCCAATCAGAACAGGGCACATTTAGATATGTCATTTGTAAAGGCATGGTAACACACAGCTGTTTAAATCTAAAGGATAAACACAGGCTGGAAAATGGTTCCTATAAAAATTCATTACAACTGTTTTTGGTACATAAAACCACACAAATGTTATTAATGAGTTGAGGGGGGAAAATAAAATAAACAAAAATGTGGAAAAAAGGTCCTTTAACATGGTCAGTGTCACAAATTTGCTTAAATTTTAAAAAATTCCCTGGAAATAGTGCAGAACGTTCATCTTTACTACATCTTCATTTTACTTTGTCTTCAGCTTTTCTTTGGCTTAGAATTTTCATTCTAAAACATTCTGTTGTTTATTTCCATGTTTGGAAAAAAAGTGTTAGACCAAAAGGTAAATTTTCATCTGTTGTGCTTGGCCAGATGTTAAAATGTGTCCAGTGAACTATATGCTTAGGCCAGTGGACCACTTGGGTGTAGGGTGTAGGCTACAGTGGTGTGAATGAGTTGTTTATAGCTGCTGTAGTAGCTGGTAGCAGGAGAGGGTCTTAAAGCCAGTGTTTACAGTAGTTCAGTGTTCATTACTGTGCTGTGTATGTGCAGCAGGTGCAAAGGAGAAAGGAGTGCCAGACGATATTGAAGGTGTATCGTCAGTTAGGATGCAGCAGGCCTAGATTAAGTCTCTACACCAGGAGAGGTGGAAAAGAACTGCACTGGTCCAACCACACTTTCCTAAAAGTGCAAAATCAGTATGACATTTGATACTTACTTGTTTAAAGCAGAGGGAAACTGAATGAGTATGTTAGAAAAAAGTCTGTCACAAGTGTGACTGTTGCTATAGCAGAGAGAAAAGAAACAAAACACAAAAGTTTGTTTTTGGTCAGTTGATCAATTGATGCAGAAGAAAATGTTATTCTTGTCATTTTCAGTAATAGTTTTTTGTTTGTATTTTACACATTTGCATAAATCAGCATTGTTACATACAAATATTTGCCTTAATGACTGTTCTGTATCGTAAGCCTGCTACAGAAGGGGTGTCCGATACGCAGCCTAACTGAAGTAGGGCGTCACTGGAGTCTATTTCCATAGCGACGCCCCCTTTATTTCCTGAAGAGGTATTGAAATTCACCACAGTGACCTCTATTGACCTATCACAAAGCTGAATACTAAACAGCCCTAAGATACGCCCATAAAGAGGGGGGAAAAATCCACTGCCTGTGCTGTCTGAGCCTTAGTGCTGGAGGACTCTCGTTCTAGGCCACGGCCGAGAAACAGCTCACCAGGCTGAGCATTTTTACACACATCACATTCATCTGCCTTAGGGGGCCTCTAGTCAGATTGCAAACAACCATTGGCCCTTTGTTATTGCTGAAGACAAGGATTTGTTGAACATAATGCAGCACCGGGGCTAAAAAATGAAAATGTTTTGTAGTGTAATTGAGGTTTAATGGAACTGGCTTTTCCGAGGGGAATTTGTGGTCAGTTATGCTTGTGTAAATAATTTTGCCTTGTTTCTCTCTCTCTCTCTCTCTCTCTCTCTCTCTCTCTCTCTCTCTCTCTCTCTCTCTCTCTCTCTCTCTCTCTCTCTCTCTCTCTCTCTCTCTCTCTCTCTCTCTCTCTCTCTCTGCCATTTTCTCCAGCAATTTTCAGAATCATTCTGTAAAAAATATTGGCTCAGAAACATGCATAATCTGTCTTCTGAGTTTGGGAAGAAATAACAATGGTTGTTGGATGAGATTTACCACCAACACACACAAGGACCTGTACTTGAACAACCGCCAAACAAATGTACAACCATCATGCAGTACTGTGCAAAAGTCAGAAACCACGTAGGAAACAAGCAGAAAATATATTTCACATAAAATTGCATAAAAGCTATTTAGTTGGAATATCGTTTTTTTCAGTATTTAGTCTGTCCACACTTTGCCTTTATAACAGCTTCCTTTCTTTTCTGGAGACCTGCTTTCAGTTCTTAAAATTAATCTGCAGAGATATTTTCCCAATAGAGTCTGGCTGCAGACATGCACTCTCAGCCCCAGTGACGTCACATGGACATACACTCTCTGCCACAACGGCACGGTAACTTTTGGCTGCTTCTGCTTAGGGATATCATCACTTAATCCATTTTTCGTTCATAACACGGCTAGAGAGTTACATTTAATGTACCTCCCTGTTGAAAAAAAATCATAGAATCCATTAAAAGTGTCTGTTGGTTCCTGGTGGTTTTCAGGAGTTGCTAATGGTATTCTGTGTTTTCCTGATGGGTTGATATCAAAGTGTAAAGGATTCTGATCGTTTAATCAGGTATTCTGGGACTGATTCCACAAACATTTGATCGTTTCCTAATGGCTTTAACGTCAACCATCAAGTCAATTCCCGTTAGGAAGCAAAACCATCTGGTTTTATTCCTAACTGCCCTGCAAACACAGTTACGTATTGTTCTGGTGCCCACAACGTTGTCTGACAACTTTCTAGGAGGTTGTGACAATGTTGACGAGACGGCAAAAATGATCAGTACTACGTTGACTGCACATTGTTACAGCCTCCTAAAATCCTTAAGTTCTATTTTGATGAATTTTACAGTTTTTGATAACTGGTTCCAATAGTCTTCGCCATGGCTTTCATGCATTTCAGCAGTAGCCTTTTTGTTTTTTTTCTGCGAATAAACCCGACATTCATGTCGTATCATCAGGGTAGGTTTTATTTTGAAAGTTTCCATATTTAATTACTTTATTATAAGTACGCCAATGTTAATATACATTCAGTGTAGCTCTTGTTGCCCTGCAGTACGTGGTTCACTGTTTTTCCTCATAAAACCGACAAAAACACTGTCATGGCAGAGCGTGCACTGACGTCATCAACAGGCGGCTGAGAGTGCATGTCTGCAGCCAGACTCTTCTCGATATTTTTCCACACCTCCAGACTTCGGTGGCATTTTTTGCTTCTCACAATCCAAATAATCTCAGCTAAATGTGCTAATTAAACTTAGTAGGCGTTAAAATCTTACTCCACGTCCCAGGCGTCTGGTTTTTGGTGTTCTAGTTTTGTTCTTTTTTTTGGCCTATTTCCTTGGCTTCTTGACAGCTACACATCCTTTCAGACTCATAACATTGACTTGACAGTGGAAGGTGGAATGATGGACAGACACCTGTGGATGAAAGCTTTAAGTACTGTTTATCTGATAGGGACAGCTTTGTTGGTCTACCAGGTCTTGCACAGTTGTTAGGAGTTCCATTTTCTCTATATATTTTTGATCAATTTATGAACAGTTTTGGAAATTCATGTTTTTTCACTCATTGTCCTTTGACTTTCCACTTTCTGATGCAAGTAGATTATCCTGTGTCTAAATATCTGCTGAAAAATGAATTTGTGTTTTAAAATGACCTTGTTCTTAATAGTTATTTTGACAGGAAATCAAATAAATTAAGGGTCAACTCTGACTTTTGCACAATACTTTAACTACTTATGGATCTCCTTGCCATACTAAATTCTTGTAATGGGAAATGAGTTTTAGCAGTGAGTTATTATTTATTTATGATTGTTAATGTATAAAAAGGGGAATATGAGGTTGAGAGTGTTTTTAGCTTTAATGCCAGGGCTTTGCAAAAGACCACCATGGCTTCCACAGAAAGGT